AGAGAACTGCTTGCCCCGGTCAGAGCCAAGGAGACCCAGGCTCCTGACCCACAGTCCCGGCATGACCCACTGCGGCCTCAGTTCCCACAGCATGTGCTCGGGGTGTGGAGGGCACGGTCAGAGCTCCAGGCACCACCCAGCCTGGGCCACCACCTCCTTCCCCGATTCCTCAGCGAGCAGAACCCTGACAGACTGGCGCTTACGCCCCAGTGCCTCTGGGAGGGCAGGGCCTAGGGAGGGGTAAGAGCCGGGCCCTGTCCGCAGGGCGGCTGGCAGGGGAGCTGCAAGGCCGTGAGCTGGGCCAAGGGGGGCCTCCCGGGGAAGTCGGCCCAGAGGTGAGGAACGCAAAGGCATCCTGGGGGACAGGCCGGTTCCTCCCACCGGGTCTCGCCTGCATCGGGCCACGCTCCCGCCTGGGAGTCTCGTGTGAACAATGTCTGTCTCCCCCAGGAAGATTTACGGGAAAGAGTCACTGAGCAAGGCCCGCAGAGCGCCGGGCAGGTGAGAAATGTGGGCTCCCTCCCGCCTGCCCAGGCCGCTCCCTGCCAGGTGCCCACGCCCAGGCCTGGCCAGCCAAGGCCGCTGGGTCCTCAGCCACGGAGCCCGGGCGTCACCCCGAGACTCCCTCACACCAGAAGCCCCTCAGGCGTGCGTGCGGCTCCCGCGGAGGCCAGCGGGGCCGCTCCCAGGCCGCGGCCGCAGGTCCCGGCACACAAAGCCGGGGTGGGGGATCCTTTGTTCCCGCCGCCCCGGGGACGCGCGGCTCAGCCCCGCTCCCTGCGCACCCTCGGGGGCTCAGCCCCAGGCGGGCGGGTGGATCCTTGCAGGGTCGCAGTGCAGAGGCCGTGCAGAGGCCGCCAGCCGCGCGTTGGGGCGCGGGAGGGGCGCCTCCATCATGGCGCGGCCCGCGGCCCTCGGCTCCCCGGCGGCCGGGCGGGGCGCGGGGCGCCCCCTCTCCTCTCCCGCGGGGAGGCGGCCGGCGCGGGGTGGGGCGCGGCCCGTGAGAAAGCCCCGCTCGCCTCCCGCCCCACCCGCCCCATCCCGAGCGGAGGGAGGGGGTTCGGGCCCGCGCCCCTCCCTCTTTTGTTCAGCTCCGCATCCCGGGCCGCGCCGCCCTCGGCGCCTGGGGGGGGGAGCCCGCGGCAGAGGGGCCCGAGGCCCCAGCCCCGCCCGCCGCCGCACCCCCACACCCCCCCACGGTCCCCCGGGCCGGGGCGGCGGCTGCGGGACCGACGGGCCCCGCCCCGCCCAGGCAGCCCCGGGGCCGCCCCGCCGCTCCCCGGCCCCGCCGGCGGCGACCCCGCGGCGGGCGCCCTCACCGTGATGTGCGGGATGCTCTTCTTGCCCTGGTAGGACATGGCCGCGGTGCCCGCCCGCGCTGCTGGGCGATCGGCGCGTCCGCGTCCGCACGGTGCGCTCCGGGGCCGCGAGGACCGGATCCGCCAGGCTCGGCCGCGACTGCCCGCGCCGCCCGCCCGCTGCCCGCCCGCCCGCCCGGCTGCCAGCGCGGCTCGGAGGGCGGGGGCGCGGGAGGCGCGGGAGGCGCGGGAGGCGCGGGGAGGCGCTGCGGAGCTCCTCCCGGCGGCCGGCCCGCCCCCCGCGCCAGCGGGAAGCGCGTCCCCCCACCCCGCGCGCCCGCCCCGCCCCGCCCCGCCCCGCCGCCCGCGCCGCCGCGGGGCCCCGCGCTTGGGCCCCCTCCACGGCCCGGGCCCCCTTCCAGCCCCGGGGTCCCGCCCGCCTCGCCACAGGTGCGCCGCGCCGTCCCGGCCGCCCCCGGAGCCCGCGCCGCGAGGGGGGGACCGGCCCGGGTCGGGGGGGCCCGACCTGGCCTCAGAGCCCCCCGGTTCCAGCCCGAGGACGGCGGCCCCTCCCCGGCCCCCCCTCCGCGCGTCGCCCCACCCACCGAGGGCCCTTCTGGACCAGACCCAGCACCTTCCGTGCCCAGCCGCAGGCTTTATTCAGCCGCGCTCCCCACCCCTGCGCCAGACAAAAGGCCGCCCGCCCCCCCAGGCTCCGCTCCGGCACCGAAGCAGTTTCCCCAGCGCCAAGCACAGGTGCCCCCAGGCCCAGGTAGCACGGCAGGGGCCCAGGTCCTGGCTGGCCCGCTCCACCCTGCAGCAGCTCCCGGCCCAGCAGCCTGCCTGGGGGGGGGGGGCGCACCCCACAGTTTTGCCTACAAGAGGGCGAATGCCCGGAAGACCAGACATTGCAGCAAGTTTGCCACAAAGAGCAGGATGCGCTGGGGGCGGAGGCAGAGGAGGGACACCAGCCCTGGCAGCCAGGACAGACGTGGCTCTGGGGATGCAACAGGGCAGGAGGCCAGGGCGAGACTGGCGAGCCTCACCACGGAAGAGGGGGGAGGGGAAAGAGGGAGAAAAGGGGCGCCTCACAGCAGTGGACAGATGCCCCAAGGCTCCCAGCAGAAGGAAAGCCAGCCTTGTCTGCTCCTCCTTGCTGCCTGCAAAATCCAACCCACGGGGTCTGCAAAAAGACCCATCCTCTTCACGCGGAAGGTGCCACCCAGAGGGAGGGTAACCTCCTCCTCCGAGTGTAAAGCCCCCCACGCGCCTGTTGGGGCCTGTGCCCTCACTCCACTGCCACCAGGAGGCCAGTCCAGGAGGTGGGGTTGTGGGTGCACAAAGGAGAGACGGCTCAGTATTCCAGGGACAATGTGCCATATATAATGTTCCCTTCTTACAAGTGGGCGAGCCGGGCTGGCAGAGGCAAAGTGGCCGCCCAGGTGCACAGCACGCTGTCTGGGCCCGGCGGTGTCCTGAGCAAGCCCCGTCTAGGGTCCCGCCCCTCGCGCCTTCATGCAGCCCGGGCCGGGCCGGGGCCTCAGTGTTGATGAGCAGGAATTGTCAGTGAGGGTGCTCGCTCTCCCTCTGACTGCTACATCCTCTTCCTCAGCCTTGTTAAGTCCTGGCTTCCATACACGCAGGCTCCCCCAGGGGTCAGTCTGGGCAGGGAAGCTCCTTGGCTGGGGACAAGACCACGTGGGTACTGGGGGAGGGGCACCGGCCCGGATTGGCTAAACAGACCCCTGCTCCCAAGCAGATTTCCTGGGTACAAAGCCCCGCAGTCCTCAGCCTGGGGCTCCGCAAATGCTACGCCTGCGCAGCAGGAACCCCTCCTCCCTCCCGGGAAAGAGCCTTACGGGCAGCGGAGGGCCCTGGCACTCGCCGCAGAGCACAGGAGCACCGAGGAATCCAAGTCCCGTGGCCCCTCGGCCTGCAGAAAGTAAAATCTCCCCCCCACCCCTAGGGAGACCAGCTCCTCGATTCCACAGTCCTGAACCTCAGGTGCTCGGGAGCCTGATGCTACACCCCAGAGAAGCCATGGAGAAGGGGACGAGCGGGCCAGGGGAGGTGAGGAAGGGGCTGTGGGAAAGATGAAGTGACCTGCGGGCGGGGCTGCGCCCAAGCAGAACCGGGGGTCGATGCTGGCGAAGTAGCCTCAGCTCTACCCGGGCCTGCTTCAGACAGCCATGGCCATGCACAAAGTGCTCCCCCATCCCTGAACTCCACCGCTCCTTGAGAAAGGAGGATGTCACCCCATTTCACGGAGGGAGAAGCTGAGGCTTAGGAGGGTGAAGTCCCAGAGTTCCCAGTACTGGAACCCGCTTCTCGGTCTGTGGCCTGCAGCCTCCTGCTCAGGGTTAGGATCCTGGATCCCGAGCCTCACTGTCCGCCAAGGGGGTGAAGAAAGAGCGGGGGAAAAGAAGTGGGGCGCTCTTCATAGGTCCCTGCCTCGCCACAACCTTCCCTGCAGGCCGCCCCGCGCGGGGCAGATTCAGGACCACGGAGAGGGCCCGGGCTCTGGGGCCCGCTTGGGCGAGGGGTGGGGGCGCGAGGCCCACCGCTCGGTGGCAACAGCCACGGGCTGCCCCGGCCCTGCTTCCCACAGCCCCGGTTTCTGTCCAGTCAAACTCTGCCTCCTCCCAGCTGACTTCACGCCTCACAGCATTGAAAAGGAGGATTAATAAAATGATAGCACCAAGACTCAGCAATGAGCCTTTATTGAATGGACGTTCACTGCCCCCCAGAACTGAGTCATTTCATTTTCCCGTGTACCCATCACCTGCTCCAGGCGGGAGCGGAGCCGGGGCCATGAGCCGGGATCCCAGGGAAAACCAGGGGCCTAAGACTCAAGCAACCAGTTCTAGGGCAAGCTGTCACCCCCGCCCGCTGCGTGCCCACCTTCCGCTTTCCAGGTACCTGCCCGGACCCTCACCCCAAACTGCCATCTATCCATCCACCTGCCCCCCCGGTCCCGGCAACCCCCAGCTGGAGGGAGAAGAGCCATGAAGCCCGAGACCAAGACTGCTCCCCCTTCTCCCCAGTCTAGGGAAGGAGAAAACCCCTCCAAGTCCAGGCAGCTGGAGTGGGGCTCCCCCTGCCACCCTGCCTCCAACTTGCCCTGTCAAGGGAGCACCCTGGTGTGCCCTGGAGCTGGGCAGCAGCCCCTGGAGATGCCCGGGCTTGGGGTCGGGGTTCCAGTTCGCCCTCGTGATCTAAATCTGAACCCAGTCCTTCCCTCGGAAGGCATGGGGGGGGCACTCAGGAAAGACCCTTTCATCCGTGAGCTGTGCGACAGCAGACATTTCCCCGCGCCTCTCCCAGCACCCGGCACCCGGCAGGCGCGCTCTGGTTCCCAACTGAGGCGCCCAGGAGTGGAGGTCCCTGGATTGGGTCCACCCGAGACCCCTCCGCCTCTCAAAGGTCCATGTGGCAGCTTCAGCCAACTTACTTCCCTCCTCAGCACGCGTCCCCCTGTCTGCACTCGAGGGGGAGCGAGCCGAGTCCCCGGGGCGTCCCAGGGCCGGTGCTGGCCACCCCCCGCCGGGAGCACCTCGGACGAGCTCCCGGGCGGGCGGCGGGGGAGGGGCCGGGGCCGGGGCGCGACCCCGGCACCCGAGCCAGCCGAGCGGGCGCTGCCCTCGCGGCCTCGCGCCCCGCGGCCCCGCCCGCCCCGCCGGCCCCCGCGCGCCCCGAGGGTACCTGGCCATTGTCCCGGCCGAGCGGCAGGTCGCGGGGCGCGGGGCAGCGGATGCGCAGCGCGGGCGGCCGCTCGTCGCGCTCCCCGGGCGAGCTGACGGCGGACCCCGAGGGCTCGCTCGCGTCGCTGGCCGTGTCCTCGCTGCCGCCCGGCCCCGGCAGGCCCGCGGCGTCCAGCCGGCCCGCGCCGCGCGGGGTGCGCGCCGAGCCGCGGCGGCCCACGCTGTAGGCGTCGAAGTCGATGGTCTTGTTCTCGTAGGCGCCCTCCACCGCGGCGAACATGCCGCCGTACTTCTGGCGCGGGGTCTGCGCCGCGCTGCCCGGCCGCGCCAGGTACACGGGCAGGTCGTCCTCCGTGCTCCACGCGCGCCGCCGCTCCGCCATGCCCGGCCGCCGTGCGCCGCCTCCCTGCGCTCGTGCGGCCCCGGCGGCCCCGGCGCGACTGCGGCCCGGGCGGGGCGGGCCGGGGCGGGCCGGGGCGGGCCGGGGCGGGGCCTCGGCTGCGGGCGAGCGCGGCGGCCGCTACAAAGGCCGCGGGGCGGGGACGGGCGGGCGGGCCCGTGACGCGCGAGCCGCAGCGCGGGGGGCGGGCGGCCCAGCCGCAGTGCCCTCGCCGCGCCCGCCCCGCCCCGCGCCGCCGCGCGGGCCCCGAGAGCGAGCGGGAGGGCGCGAGCTTGCACACGCGCGCGCACACGCACACGCACGGCTCACCCCGCGCCAGGACGCGCAGCAGCCCCGGGGCGCACGCGGGCCGGGCGAGGGGCGCACTCCCGCGGGCCCAGGGCGCCTTCGTGCGCTCCGTGGGCAAATCTGAACACACACGCAGGCTGGCACGTCCCGGGTCATTACACACACACACACCCCAGAAATGCTCACGGTCCCCAGCCTCGCGCATGCAGTGTCACACCGAGACTGATTGCACAGCCAGGGACACGCCCACGCCTGGCCGGCGCTCATTCACTCAGCGCCATTGTATGGCCCCGGGCCTAGCATGCTGCTGGGGCTGGGGAGGGGCGAGCGGGGTGACCCCAGGAACAGGGCCCTGCCCTCTGGGAGCCGGTGTTCTGAGGAGGGACGCTGTGCCGGGCAGGCCTCAGGACCCGGGCGCCGGTGTGCAAGGTGAGAGGGCACGTCAGCGCCACATTCGTGCAGACACATGTGCAAAATGCTCGCTCCTGCAGCACCCACGCGACAAAGAGGTGTCACACCCTCGTACCAAAGGCAAAGTCGCAAGGTGACGGACTCCACGCACACTCAGGACGCCCAGACACAGACCCGGCCAGGAGCCAGGGCCCTGGGGAAGCGAAATAGAAACTCCAGAAAAAGACACAAAGAGGCAGAACAGCACACACTCCCCCCAGGCACCACCCAGGCGGATAAATACTGGCCATTCCGGGGTCCCCTCTCAACACCCTCACACTGCCTTCCCTTGCCCACCCAGGAGCTCGCACCCTGGGGGTTCCTCTGACCGGGGTCAGGGTGGAGAGCCTGGGGGCCCCCTCCTGCCCTCCTCCTGCTAGGCCCCATGTGTCGCCCCGACTCAGCCTCTCTCCTCCATGATTATCATCAACGAGCCTGGTCTCCAGGGACCTGGCGTCCCAGCTGCTGTCTGGACGGGCTGAATCGCCGGCTGCTGACTGGCTCAGAGGGCTCGGTGGGGACCCCGGCGGGGGGAGTCTCATGCTAGGCTGTGTCCCCAGCCCCACCCATCCCCAGGCGAGGAGCTGCCCCTTCGCAGCGGGCCCTGGCACTCCCAGAAGCTCAAACTGGCCCCACTGTCTTGCTTTTCTGACCGCCAGGACCAGGACGGGGGGCTCTGGGGATCCCGGCCCCGTGGCCTCGGGGACACCTCGCCACCCTGGCCGCTTTCGGGCCTGGAACGAGCTGAGTGTGGCATAAGTAGGTGTCATTGCCTCGCGCTGTGTAGACAGGAAGCCGGGCTGGAGAAGCGGAGCCGCCGCCTGTGCCTCAGGCCCCGCCGCTCCCAGTCAGGCCTGCAGCCCGGTGGACATGCGGCAAGTCCTTGTTCTGAGCTAGAGAGAAGGTGCTGGCAACACCGAGATGAATATTTACGGAGTCCGTGCCTCGGAGACGCCTGTGCTCGGGAAGGGGAGAGAGTGCGGGTCATAAATAAGAGCCGAGATTGCCCGTCCCCCTCGGCCCACTCTTCCGCCCACCCCACCCCCAGCTGGGCGCCTCCCTCCTTTGTCCCCCGCACGCTGCACAGACTTGTCCCGGGTGATCTCCTGAGGCCTGCGGGACCCGGGGCTTCGTTGCACATGTGCAGTGTTTCAGTGGAAACTTCTGTCCTGCAAAATGCTATTCCCAGCACATTCAGGTAAGACTTCATGATGACGACCACCTAGAAACTTCGAAAGCTCCGGGAATATCGGCAATGACTAAACCCTTAGAAATATCAGAGACTCCAGAGTCTGAGTTATACAAAAATTTTGAGGTCAAGCCCCATACTCTGTGCCTGCATCTTCTCTCAGCATTTTGAGGGGAGGTCTCTAGGGTTTTGCTTAAATACTGCTCGTGATGGCGCTCTCAAGTCTCCCTGCTCCACAGTCGGCTGGTGTGGGGTGGGGGTCAGTGTCTGGCAGACCCCAACGGAAGCAACCCCAGGAAAGCGGAGCAAACCACACTCAGACCTGACGGCGGCAGGGACCCTCCCCGGCCCGTCCTCTGGCTGCTGTGGGCCCTCCAGGGAAGGCATCCTCGTAGGTGAGCTCAGCAGGGGCTTTCGGTGAAGGACAAGTTTCCAGGGTATCCTGTGGGAACTTGAAGCGTTCTGGGGCAATGATGGAGGACAGAGACGACCGTGTCAGAGGGCGCTGGGGCAAGGACAGGAGAGGCCGCTCAGCTCTGAGCATGTTCTCTAGAGAGAGAGAGAGGGAGGATGTGGAAGCCGGACTTGCAGCCGCGCTCCGCGGTGAAGGCAGAGGAAAGGCCCAGGAGCCAAGGCGTGCAGGCGGCCCTGGGAGCTGGAGCACAGGATCCACTCCCCCGGAGCCTCCAGAAGGAACCAGCCCTGACACCTAGATGTCAGCCCAGTGAGACCCTGAGCCCAGTAGGACTTTTAATCTCCAGAACTGTAAGATAATAAATCTGTGTTATTTTTAACCTTCAGGTCCGTGTGATTTGTTCCAGCAACAGCAGTAAGTTAGTAACAAGCGTGTAATGGCTCCTAATGGCAATCGCTTCATTATTTGTACAAAATGGACTTGACTTCTCAGAAGCCCCATTTATTCCCCCCAAATGAAGAGTCTTAGGTTCCCTGCAGTTTTGTGTTGTGTCAGGTTTACCCTGATGTGTCAGGGCAATGAACCATCCACACGGTAACTGTCTGAAGGCACAAGAAATTGAGTTAAGAAAGAGCATTCTTTAATGTACAAAATCACACAAATTAGATGTTTAACTCACATAGGAAAATACATCTTAGTCAGGAGAGAAAGTGTACTTTACACCAGGTCGAGCGCTCACTGCAAATCTGGAAAACCCAGCGGGAGGGCTGAGCCGGGCTCACCCTGGCCGGAGCCTGGAGAGCCTCTCCCAGAACCAGGCACTCTCGTCACACCTCACACAGGGTATGGGAGCCAGCCCCGACTCCAGGACTCCAGGCAGGGGCTTGCTGAGAAATCCGGAAGGAAGGGGGTTCTGCTGAGGGCGGAGCGGAATTGCTCCGCCAACATTTTCAACCCTCGGGGCTTACCGACAGAGCCTGGCTTACCGATCGATGGAGCCTGCCTTTCAGGCTCAGCCACCTGCCGCAGGTATGGAGTTGAGCCTTGGGGATCGGTGGGAAAATGCACCATCCCACCCCAGTGTCTGCACGCCCAGATGTCAGCGGGAGCTCTATCCCCTGCCAGGCACTGGCTGAATAGAAGGGGGAAAAAGGCTGAGTATCTAAAATATGTCAGAAATGTCTAGCACTCTGTTCTCAGAAGTTGACTGAGTTCTCAAAAATGTCACATTCCAAACCTGGAATTTCACCCTGGAATTAAATAGGAGTTGTGAATCGTTTAAAAGAAGCTCATCAGCCTCAAGGTAAAATCCTCTTTCTAGCTTATAAAGTTAATTCAATAAAATGCTGAGTAACGTAAAGAGAAAGAAAGGAACTTATCTTGTAGAGCATTCCAGCAACCTGTCCTCTGATGGGAAACTAAGTTCATAGTCATCTTATTGCTAAATGACTCATAAACCTTTGATTGGCTACGCTGCCTGTTTCATGCTGGGAGGCTAGGGGAGGGAGGCAGTGGAGGGGTGGATTTAAGCCTCCATCGTTCGAGCCTAGCCAAGAAGGAGGTGAGTTTCCAAGATATCTTGGGATCCAGGGCTTCCCCAGGGAAATGTGGGCATGGATTTGCAGAAAAGGAATGAGTTCCTGGATCTACTACGTGCTGCTAAGTGATGCCACATGGCTCGCCACCCAGCGGAAATAGGATTGCATCAGAGCCTGGGTTGGAGCTCTCAGCAGAGGAGCCTACACGTGGCCCAGGACAGACACCCACAAGAGACATCAGGATCGGATTCAGTCCCATCTGCAGGGGAGCGCTGTGTGGCCGGGGGCGCGTAACCACCCCTCTCCGGCTTCAGTTTCCTGCTTGCAAACGGGCAGGGGTAGAGTGTTTCTACGGCTAAACTCTTCAGTTGTAGCAGTGGATGTTTCTGGATTGTTCTCTCAGTCCCTGCACCCCTGACCAGCTTGGGAAGGGCAGCCCTGTGCCCACTGCAGGTGTGCAGGTAGCGTGGTGCCCACCTGGGCCTGCAGAGCAGCGGGGTCAGCTGCCTCTGTGTCTGCGCCACCGCCACACCTCTGGCGAACTATTTTAAGAACACGGCCTCGTGGTTCCTGGGGAAGTGTTGCCATGCCAACTCGCTGCTGTTGCTGGATCACTATCCAGGAATGCACTGAGCCACCATCTGACGAACGAGTCTTTCTTCCTCAGCCCTGGGACCTTTCCCAAGCTGGCACAAGACAGACCCCCTTGCTGGTAATGGCACACAGTAGGAGCATAATCGGTGTGTGCTGAATTAAAGACGTGAATAAAGCACGGGGAGAGCCTTGAGGTCTGCAAAGTGCTTCCCCACCCAGTGCGTCTGCTGCGCTCCCAGCAGTGCGGGGCAAGTGTTCCCAGCCTGTGGCCAGGCGAGTGCACGGAGGAGGAGCGTGACCTCCTGTGGCCTCAGACCTTCTAAGCTGCAGGCCCCAGTCCCCAGGGCAGTGATTCTGCTTTTAAACCCTCATCTCTTTCTCCTCTGCCCGGTGGCTTCTCAGCGCTCTCTTGTATGAAAGCCAAGTCCTGTCTGTTTAGCCAGAGTTTGAGAATTGACAAAGTGCTGCTTCCACCCACGTTCCAATTTCATTTAAAGCCTGAAGTTGA